AAACAAGCTAAATTATGCCTTATTGTAATTTAAACAAGCTAAAATACAGCATTATGCCTTATTGTGATTCAAACAAGCTAAATTATGCCTTATTGTAATTTAAACAAGCTAAAATACAGCATTATGCCTTATTGTAATTAAAACAAGCTAAATTATGCCTTATTGTAATTTAAACAAGCTAAAATACAGCATTATGCCTTATTGTGATTCAAACAAGCTAAATTATGCCTTATTGTAATTTAAACAAGCTAAAATACAGCATTATGCCTTATTGTATTTAGCTTGTTTAAATTACAATAAGGCATAATTTAGCTTGTTTGAAAATACAGCATTATGCCTTATTGTGATTCAAACAAGCTAAATTATGCCTTATTGTAATTTAAACAAGCTAAAATACAGCATTATGCCTTATTGTAATTGAAACAAAGCGGAAAAACTACTTTATACTTTATTGTGCTTAAAACAAATCAAGTTTTATTTCATTGAGTTGAAAAGAAATTAGAATATTAATTCTACCTTATTTTACTTAATACAAACAGAAAACTACTTTTTCTTATCTTATTATACTTAAAATAAAACAGAAAGTTAGTTTTGTATTGTGCTTTAAACAAAACCAGAAAACTACATTTTCTCCCTTTTATATTGTAATAAACCAGAAAATTGCTTTATTGGAAAACAAATTGATTACATTATTTTGTGTAAAACAAAACATAAAAATAATATTTTTATTTTATTGCATTTGAAGCTGGAAAGAACACTATATTTTTATTTTATGGAACTTAAAATAAACAAGGAAACCACTTTTATTTTATGAAACATGAAACAAACAAGATCACATTTAATTTTCTGAATATGAAATAAACCAGAAGATCGCTTTTTTTCACTTTACTGAACACGAGACAAATCAGCAAATCACTTTTTACTCTATGAAATATGAAACATTTTTTTTAGCTTTATTAGCTTCAATAAACATGAGACAAACTAAAATATGACTTTTACTCTAATATACACGGAAGAAACTAGAAGACTACTTTTTTACTTAAGAAAAAGTAAAAGATAACTTTTTACATCACGAAACATGAGACAAGCGAAAAGATCACCTTTTACTTTAATACACATTAAGTAATCCAGAATATTTTTACTGTATTAACGTATTTAAGATAAACTGTAAGATCCCTTTTTATTAATTTTAGTGTTTTCGTGCTTTGTAAGACTCATAAAACTAAACTACAATTAATAATTGCAACTTCTTTATTGTTTTCCATAGGTTAATTATTCTTTCAAAAGAGTAATGAAAATTACTGAGATGAGTGCGAAATGATATGCCGACTAAGATGTCTCATAAATAATTGAAACTGAAAAAGTTTTAAGTCAAAGCTTAAGCAGTACGAGAACACAAAATAATGTTTTATTATGGTTTGTTACTTTTGTATTCTTATCGATAGGAGCCAGGAAGAAGTTTGTCAGTCTTCCTGATTATCGTTAAAAAAAGTATGGACATTGTTGCATCAAAATGATCAATGAGAGTCTCACTACAATACCTTCTATGCAAGCCAATACTTTTTACGCGCTGTTTTATGACCTAATTCATTTTAAAAAATTCAACGAAGGTTATCGTATACAACAACAATAGGTGTCTAAAATCCCCTTTAATTAGTTTATTCGACAAAACTAACCAAAATTACGCTAAAGGAACGAATATATGTTTATAACTTCATGTGCTTGAATTTCAAAAGTCTGAACATGTTTCATATCTTTATGTGCATACATTGCAGAAGTTTGAACATGTTTCATAACTCCATGTGCATGAATTTCAGAAGTTTGATACTCTGGAAAAACCTCAGGTGTTTACTTTATGAAACTAAAAAAAAAAAAAAGGTTACGAAGTAAAACAAAAGGACATTTAGT